GACTGGTTCTATGAGCGTTGATAACTGGTTCTATAAGCGTTGATGACTGGTTCTCACATCGACCCAGCTGGTCTCAGGATATTTTCGTTACGTTAAGCTCTTGTCTTGGTCATCAGAAGTCCAGTCAGACGTTCTGTCTCTAGTTTAACTGAGAACAGTCTCCGTGATCCAGATCTGGAACAATCAGAACCATGGTTGTGTTAAACTGTACGACTTAGAAACAGGAAACAGTATCTGCTGCTGTTTAATTGATGTCAGTGTTCAGTGACCTGCAGCTAACGATGGTTTTTTATTCTGTGCTGGAGGTTTGCTGCCATTCTGGGTCGACGTGGACTCTCTGGTGTTCATAGATTCTGTCAGTTAGATGGTAGATGTTCTGCACTTATATAACACTTCACAATGTGTTTCTCATTCATCCATTCATCCATTCATCCATTCACACACCAATGGCGCCATGCAAGCTGCAGGTTCAGTGTGCTGCCCAAGGACACTTCATGTGGAGGGGATAGAACCACCAACCTCACACCTGGCTCTACCACCTGATCCACAGCCGCCCAGTTGGTGTTTAATCAGAGTCAGAACCTGGTTCTGCTTGTTTTCATTTATAAACTTCACACAACATGAGGCTGATTTTCACTTAATGAACAAAAATGAAAGCAGAAGAACCTGCAGCTCGGTGACATTTATTGTCTTATGAATCATAGTTTTATCTCTAAATGAGGAACTCTGTTGATCCAGTTGGTCTCAAACACCTGAGCTCTGTCTGGAGGTCATGAACCTCCTCAGAGTCTCTGTCGTGGTGCCGCTGCTGCTGGACTCACAATAAAGAGACACAAGAACCAAAATAAGACGCAGAGCGCCGGTAAACCACAGGAACCAGATGATTCATCGTCTGTAGCTGGTATCATATCTGTAAGACCAGCAGCACACGTTTCTAATCATCTCTTCATGACCTCTGGTTCTGGTTTGAACATTAAAACCCGACAGAGCTGCTGCTGCTGTTCACCGGATCGATGATTAATTACTAACTTCAATTGTTATCCAGAGAATGCGGAAGTTTTCCAGAAGTCTGCAGCTTCAGTCTGACCCGAAACTGAAGCCGTGAAATCTGATATTTATCCTGAAAAACACCTAAAAACACACACAGAGATGAACAGAAGCAGGATGTGAAGACAGTGTCTGAGGGAATCTGGTGTAACGTCTGTAAATCATCCTGCAGGTCTCTGATCACAAGAACACAGAGAACAAACCAACCGCGTTAAAGTCCTGAAAACACGGTTCAGAAGATGTAAATCTGCACAAATGAACAGAGGAGTGAAGATCCTGCACAGACACAAGATGCCCACACTGGCTGATGGAAGCTAAATCATCTCCTGAACGTTTGTGTGAATCGTTGCTGTAGAACATCTGATGTGACGCCGTGTTCACGCTGAACATCAGCTGCTTCTGTTGATGGTTCTACATTCAGGAAGCTTAAAGAAGAGCAGCCTGAAGTTCTCACTCACAAGAGAACATGTGAGTCTGACCCGTTCCCAGGTTTAGTCACGAGTTAATGACTCGTTAAAGACTAATTAAAGACGAGTTAAAGACGAGTTAAAGACGAGTTAAAGACGTACCTGCAGGGAGCCGAAGGTTCAGAGCTTCAGTCTGAGATCCTGCTGCAGTTTATCATTGACAGACTGAACAAACACGGAGCTGCTGCTGGAGCTGCTTAAAGAGACACACACACCGATACACACCAGTACACACACCAGTACACACACCAGTACACACACCGTTACACACACCGATACACACCAGTACACACACTGTTACACCCCGGTACACACCCTGATACACACCGTTACACACGTATATTTATAGTATTTTGTATTTTGTACAAACAGCCTGATTCTTCATGTTTTGTTGTTCTTGAGGTGGTTCTGACGTTTCCTCGGTGGGAGATGGAGCCGGACGCTGTTTTCTAACTTTTGACGTAAACGTTTACGTCCCAGCTGCTGTTTGGACGATGAAGTTGTTTGTTTCCTGTGTTCTTGGAGGTTTTTTAGCGGTTAGCAGCAGCGTCCTCCATCTGACCCCAGAAGGCCTCAGGAGGTCCAAGATGAGCTTCATTTGTCCCACACACATGAACACACGGTGCAACGAGCAGTGAGACGTGTTTCATACCAGCAGCCAGTTTCAATAAAAGAAAAACAGAAAATAAAACAAGTGTTGAAGGAGTATTTATGTGTCCATACACATGAATAATCAGATACACACTGAGACCCAACGTGGTCCAAAATGAGACAAAAACGCACAAAACAAATAAATGAAACACAAAGTACAAAAAGCTCCCTGTAGCGCCACCTTCAGGCCCGTCCAGGCGTCTCCCTTTGTTCTCCAGAAGTTCTCGGCTGGACTCGGCGGTTCCAGAACAAACTGAGGGAGTGTTTGGTCTCAGCCGATAATCTCATTAAACCCAAATCAAACTGAAACTGAACTTTATCAGCAGCTCCACCCGAACACGCCAACGAAGCTGAACGGCTGAACGGAGCCACGGCTGACGGACGCAGATAACAAACACCGCTCACAGTACGACTGCTATTACTGGTACTAGTCATAGTACTACTGCTAGTACTGGTACTAGTCATAGTACTCGTGGTACTACTGCTAGTACTGGTACTAGTCATAGTACTTGTGGTACTACTGCTAGTACTGGTACTAGTCATAGTACTCGTGGTACTACTGCTAATACTGGTACTAGTCATAGTACTGCTACTAACTGCAGCTGTCACCAGAAGTCTTTGAAGCTCATGATCAAACGCTGCGATCAGACTTTCTACCAACATGTTCAGTTTCTGCTCTATGAAAGTTACACAAACACGACTTTATTTCACATCCATGAGCCGGTACTTCATACTAAAGTATTCTGGGAGTACTTAGTGTTGCTGTGACCTGCAGCCACACGAGGTTCAAACCAACAGATCTGCTGATTGATGTGAAACCGGCTGCTGCTGCTGCAGGTTTATGAAACATTCACAGTTTCATTTTCTTTTGAACGATAAAATCTCAGAGTCGTTGTGAGATGAAGGATTTTCATGTCAGTTTTTACAGCGTTCATGTGAAAAGAAGGAACAGAGAATCCTGAAGCTCAGCGTCATGACGGAGATCTGCTGCAAAGAGGACCTGAAATAAGCTGGAGTTAGTCTGCTGACAGAAGCCGTGTCCTGGTCCAGACTGTGGAGGGGATCGAACCACCAACCTGGATCAGAGGTCAACCCGCTCTGCCACCTGAGCCACACACTTTACTGAGATCGTGGTGATTTTAGAATATTTTAGTTCATGTTAGTGCGACTGTTAACAGATCTAAACAAGCTGTGAACCGTCCGGTACCAGACAGAACCAGCACCCCGAGGTCTTCAGGTGGAGAAAAATATTCAAAACAAAAATCATAATTTCGGATCCATTTCAGTAAAAGAATTTGGTAAAATTACAACATCATCTATCCTCATCCTACAAGTTCAGCAGTCCAGGTTGCTAGGCAACAGGAGCGGCACTACGGGACGTGACATCATCGTGGGTTGGACGGTCGCATTTAACAAAAGCTCAGATGCAGCCTCTGAATTAGAACACGAGTGTCTTCCTCTCCTTCTCCTTCTTCTTCTTCTCGTCCTCCTCTATCTCTGCTCCCTCCTCAGCTGCGCCCTCCTCTGGACGCTAGCCGCCGTCGCGGCGCAGCAGAGCGTCAGGCAGCAGAAGGAGCTGCAGGCCAGCAGGAGGCGCTCTTCCCCGAACTGTCTGAGCAGCGCCGGCCGTCGCCACAGGAAGTCGTGGAACAGCGCCTCCTGCTGGAGCAGCGTGCGCAGCGCCGACAGGAGGTGGAGCAGCTGGTGGGCGTGGCCAATGATGTCGAAGCGTCCGGGAGCAAAGCGCTCAGGTACGGGACAGCAGAAGAAGAAGGAGGACGGCAGGAACAGCGCCACCTGGTGGAGGGACAACACAGGGTTTATGTTTTTCAGTCAGCTGATTTTTGAAAATTAAAAACCCGAAACAGAGAAACCCGGTGATCGGCTTAGATTCAGGCTTCCTTTGATTTATCTTAAAAAAAACATTTGTGTGAAAAAAGAAAAAATTAAATGTTCACAACGTTCCTCAGTTTCTCCACATCTTACACTCTTTCAGTACATTTTTTTAAATCAACTTTGAGCATCAATATTATGGGATGTATTATAGTTTAAACAACAAAACTGCAGCAGTTTAGTTTTTACTGCGTCGAGAACACTGTAAATAAAAAAGTAAATCTGTCAATAAATCTGGCAGAAAAATTGTTTAAAACAAAACTGGAACCCTCTAACGTTGAAAAAATGACTGGAAACACCTGAAAACTAAAGATTTAAATTAAGTGAAACTAACTTTATGGAGACAGTTCAAAAGAAGTAATTATTGTTTATAAATGTACTGATTTTTAACGGGAACATTTATTCGTAGTTTTTCTCTTTTTCTAATAGTGAACAGGTTTCACGGTATTTTTTCTCTGGACCTCAAGCGTTTGTAACTCTGAGAATAACTCTGATGTCACAACCAGCAGACTGATCGACAATGAAAATCAGTGAACACGTGATCAAACAGCTCCACCTGCAGGAGGTGCAGCAGCGGTGCAGGGCTGCTGCTCCAGCGCTGGGCCTCGAGGCGCCGGACCACCAGGCCGATGTTCAGCAGGGAGGCGGCCCCGGTCGGAACCAGGAAGAACTTCCTGTTCAGAGGAGTCAGCCGGTGGGAGCGAAGCTTAGCGTAGCAACAGGCGGCGCAGGAGGACCAGGAAAGGAGGGCGGAGCCTGGGAGGAACACCTGAGATCAAAGGCGGAGTTAGGACACCTAAACACCTGGGGGGGGGGGGGCATCCAGGCATCCAACCAATCAACATGCATCCATCCATTAAACTATTTAACTTGTATGAACAAACCTTTCCCAGCATGCTTTGCGTCCAGGTGGCGTCGGCGCTGTACAGGCTCAGAGCCAGAGAGCAGCCGTACTGGTGGACGGCGACGCCGACGTAGTCCAGGAAGAAGAGCGAGTGGTGCAGCTGCTCCGAGCGGGAATGCAGCAGGTGAGCTGCGGCGCTGCAGCAGGTAACTCAGAGTCAGCTCCAGCTGCACGGACCACCATGTTTACATTCATCATGACTCACCTGAAGCTCAGATATGCGACGGCAGAGAACGAGTAGAGGACCAGCGGCAGCGAGGCGGCGTCCACCGAGAAGCCCTGACCTTCAGGACCCTGAAGCCGAAACCCCAGAACCCCCTGCAGGGGTCAAAGGTCAGACAGCAGGAGGTCAGACCAGGTAGAGAAGCAGTAGACCAGCTGACCTGCGATGGCGCCTCACCCCTCCTCGCAGGACGGTAAACACGGCCAACCTCAGCGCCACGCAGACGGCGGCCAGCAGGTGGCTCCACACGTTGAGCGTCTCATTGTGGATCTGGAAGAGGCTGAGGACGTAGCAGCGCAGCGGCAGACCCGGTGGACGGTAACCCGACGGGATGAAGGGCCGCCGGAACACAGGGGGGACCTCCAGGTCTCGGACCGGTGGGGGGAGGGACGGCAGGAGGCGGAACAGCCGGGGGAGGAAGGTGAGGCACAGCGAGGGAGGGGCGAACGACACCAGAGGCATGATGGGAGGTTCAGCTGCAGGTAGAAGAATTCTGATAGCCACAGGTGTTCTGGACTCACCTGTGGGGAGAGAGTTCGACCTGTTTTCATGTTTGAAGAGGAGGGCTGGTGGTTCAGAACAGGTGAGCAGGACTCCAGACAGGTGGACGGAGGTTAGACAGGTGAGTTGGTGGTCAGAGGTGGAAAGTTAAAAAGGCGTTTTGTGGGATAAACAGGTGTGTTGGGAGGTTCAACAGGTGCTCTGTGGTTCTGAAGGTGCACAGTTTAGACAGATGTGTAGACGGTTGCAGGTGGGTATGAAGTTAAAAAGGTGATTTCAGGTTTCTACAGGTGTGTTAAAAAGGTGAGTAAACGGTTAGACAGGTGTACAGATGGGTGCTGTGGTTAGAGGAGTAGACAGGTATACCGATTGTCAGACAGGTGAGTAAACCGAACAGGTGTGTGAGGTTGGGGCTGAAAGGTGTGTTGGTTATACGGGTATCCAAAAGACTAGACAGGTGTGTTAAACAGGTGAGTAGGAGGTTAGACAGGTGTTAAGGTCATTAAGTTCTACAGGTAGTTAGACAGGTGTGTTAAACAGGTGAGTGGTTGGTTCAGACAGGTAACAAAACTGACTTGATAAGTTTCCTGAAGTCGTATAAAACTATAAAAACTGCTCCTCTGTGCAGCAGCGCCCCCTGCTGTGTGGAGGTCAGCAGCTATGAAACAAGTCGTTCATTAAGTCAGACTGAAGTCTGGATCAGATAAACGCAGCTCTCAGAATCATCAGGAGCTCAGAAACTACAAATACGTGATATTAGAAGGTTATGAAAGCTGCTGTTTTGAAACTAAAGAGACACGACTGCACATTTACAGGTTGTTCATAGTTCAGGGTTCAGAAACAGTTTTTCTCAGAAAGTAAAATAAATTCTTTAAATTCAGGCTGAGTGGCTTCATTCACAAGTTAAAGATTTATTTTAGCTGGATTATTACAGATTATCTCCAGATTAAGGTTGTTGAAGGTCGGAGAGAACAAAGAACCAAACGTACCTGCAGGCTGAGTTCTGTTCCGTCAGGTTCTGACCCGTTCGTTCCTTCGTGCTGCAGATCGACTGCCGTCACATGAACTCTGACACGTAGCAGCGCTCACAATGAGTCTCTGTTTCCACGTAATTGCAGCTAATTTCAGTCTGAAGGAGTTTTTCAGACGTCATGAGACTCTGGAAGCTGAAGCTGCTGCTGCGACGGCAAGAAGCTCCACAGAGACTAAAACCTGGAACGTTTCTGACCAGCTGAACACGAGAGATGACAAATGTGGAGGTTTAACATCCTGACAGAGGTTCTGATCACCAGACTGTTAATAATAAACCCATCAAGAGTCGAGATGTTTCTGCAAGAACTCACTTTTTTCCAGTCGACAGTAAAACAAGCTGAGCTGCAAAATGTGAATAAAAGAAAATCATTAGAAAGAAACTGATTTAATTACAGCTGCTTTGGATGATCAGCTGATCAAATGTTGAACAAACGTGAAAAACCAAACGTTAGAACATTTTAAGCACTAAATCATTTGTTTCTTTAACAAACAGAAGCGCAGTGAGAGTCCACAGGGACGACACACCTGAAGACAATCACACGCCACAGAATAAAAACAGACTTTCATGCTGTCACACAGACTGAAACTGAGAAAAGAGACGTTTTCATTTCATCAACAGAAGCTTGACGTGATGTGAGTCGATCAGTTCAGAACCAGCAGGTTGATGTGCAGCCGTCCTCACATGTCTTCATCTCCTTCCATTAAAGAAAAGACAAAACCCAGTCACCCAAACAACTAGAAACTGAAAAAAGTAATGATAAATAAAAATTTGTTAAATTATAATTTAGTGAAATAAGACGTTGCTTTTGAATTGTGGTTGAAAAGAATAATTTAAAAAAAACAAATCAAACTGTGGTGGACCAATGAGAGGCCTTTGCTGATGAGCAGTGGACCAATGAGAGGCTTTGCTGGTCCAGAACACCTGTCAACAGGTGCACAAGTCTGACTGAGAGCTACAGAAACACCTGATGGCAGTGATTGGCTCAGAGGGTTGTTCAGCTAGCACAGGGGTGTCCAGTCCTGGTCCTGGAGGGCCACAGTCCTGCATGTTCTAGATGTTTCCCTCTTCCAACACACCTGATTCACATGATCAGGATCGTTATCAGGCTTCTGCAGAGCGTGATGATGAGCTGATCATCTGAATCAGGTGCATTGGAAGAGGGAAACATCTAAAACATGCAGGACTGTGGCCCTCCAGGACCAGGACTGGACACCCCTGAGCTAGATAGTAGTTCACGGGTTCTATCAGGCTGGTTTGACGTATTTATTTCTTTCTTTAAATATTTCTGTTGAACTACAATCCAAAAGCAACGCCATGATGTTGATTAAATGTTATTTATTATCACTTTTCAGCTCATTCCAGTGTCAGCGGTTGTTTTCCTTCTTTAATGTGAGGCTGTGAACACGTCTGAGGACGACGGAGAACTGCTGAAGTCTTGAAGTCAGACAAACGTCCGGGTCGGTTGAAACCAGAAGTTTAAGAGGACATACAACCTTTTATTTCTCACTTTCTGACATTAAATCAGACTTTTCCTGTTTTGGCTCAGTCAGGATCACCAACATTATTTCTATTTGCTGAACACCAGAATCATGAGAGAGAGGATCAGAAAATTATTTAAAACACACTTAATTTTGTCTGATGGATGTCAGAAGTTCACGTGCACCACCTCCTCAGACGTGAAGGTTTCTACGTTTTCTACGATGATGTAATGTTTGAATCTTGACAATAAAACGATTTGAATATTTCGTTTTGGGCTGTTCCAGAAGCAGAGCAGCAGGGATCAGCCTGACAGCATGGTCAGGATGGACCAGAACTCCTGATTTACAAACAGAATCAGAACACACGGAGAACCTGAGCTTCTGGTTTTAATCATACAGATGATGTCAGTTTTTACATTTTGGTTTCACTCACACATCTGGAAGAACCCAACACAACAAGCAGACGAACCCAGAGATGATTGGTTTCAACAAGTTCTCAGCTGTTTGTGTTTCAACGTTTAGTTCAGGTTCAGATTAAAGGCCTCCTGTCGTGTCTGCAGTGTCTCAGCTCCAAACACCAGAGACGACTGCATGGATCCTGGTTTTAGTTCTGCTCCACACACCGCTTCAGTGTCTGTAGCTTTAAACGCTGCTGGCCCCGCCCCCTTCAGGAAGTGGACTGTCTCTGAACCTGTGATTGACAGTCCGGAGAAAAATAGACCATTAGAAACAGATTCAACTTCAGGTTCAGTCTGAGATGCACATCAAGGCTCATAATGAGTTTAAAGTTCAGATTAGACTTAAAGCCCAGATTCAAGTGCAGCTCCTGGTTCATAGTGATGCTCAGATTCAGACTTAGAATCAGATTCAGGTTCAGATTAAGGGTCACAACAAAACATAGATTCAGTTTCTGGTTTGGTTTCAGGTTTGCATTATGGCTCAAATTTAGACTCAGGTTTAAATTCAACTTCAGGTTCAGATAAGGGTTCAAAGGGTTTGGATTCAGATTTAGATGCACATTAAGGCTCAGTTCAGTTTCAAATTCAGATTCAGGTTTATATTAAAGCAAAGATGCAGATTCAAGTCCAGGTTTATCTTCAGGTTCAGGTTCAGGTTCAGGTTCTTATCAGGGCCCAGATTTAGGTTCAGGTTCTTAATATCCTAAGATTTCCAAAGTCAGACTCAACTTAAGAGTCAGTTAAGATTTATGATCACATTAAAACTCAGATTCAGGTTCAAGTTCAGGTTCAGATTTAGGTTTAGATTCTGGTTGACATTAAAACACAAACTGAGTATTAAGTTCAGGTTCAGGTTCAGATTCAGATTCAGGTTTAAACTCAGATTTAATCTTACAGCCAGTTAAGGTTTAAGCTCACATTAAAGCTCAGGTTCAGGTTCAGGTTCTGTCAGGTTACCGTTGGTTTAGTTCTGGATGGTCTTGGTCCAGACGCAGGTACAGCCGACCGCCACAGAGCGGTATGATGCGGTGTAGTGGCACCCTTTGTCCTGCCGGTTCAGAACCAGGATGTTCTGGTGGATGGGGACTGAGGTCAGGTCCTGTCGGTTGGTCTGTCCCGGGTTCGGACTGGAACAGAAGCTGCTGATGCACTCGGCCTCCCAGATGGTGGAGGGGATCCGGTCCTTCACCGTGGTCGACCTGGACAAACACACGATGCTATCATTAGCCACCCAAAGCTAACAGGCCAGCAGCGCCCCCTGGTGTGTGGAGGCCGGCAGCTGCAGTCGAGTCTCATCGACCCAAACTAACATCTGTGTCACACAGACACAACGATCAGAACCACTGGCAGCTGCTGTTTGGTCATGAAATAAAATGATCTTCCTGAACGTCTAGCAGCAGCAGATGATTCACTTGTGCTGCTCTGGTCCAGTCCTTCTGCTGTCTGAAGTTCTGACTGTGTTCACTCACGTCCATCTCCACGGCGACAGAGATCTGCTGTGGATGTTCCCGTTTCCTCCGGACAAAGACGAGACGTTGGAGGACAGGTCCAACATGGCGTCGCATCGAGGAGACGCCACCGCTCTGGAGGAGGAGACGACCCACGATGCACTGCAGAACACCTGAGGACAGGAAGGAAAGGGAGCCCGTCAGGTGTCTTCAGCAGCAGCCAATCACGGCCCAGATGTGCTCACCTCATCGGATTTTAATCCGAACAGGATTCAATGTTCAACACATTATTAATGTAATTTAACGGTGAAGTCATCAGTCGGAGGCAGAACCTGGACGTTCTAGTCACGTCATCATCGTGTCATTCACCTGGTTGAACACGTCTACGTCACACACACACACCAGAGACACTCCTCAGGGTTCAGATCATGGTGTCAGTGGACCAGAACTACAGACTGGGACCACGTCGTGGGCCAGACTCCATGTTTAGTGATGAGTAACTACAGCGTGTGTTCTTTCTCTCCAGATATATAACGATGGACTTTTTCTCATGGAAACAAACTGAAGTTTTGTTTAAACACTGAATCTGGAACAACAGAGCTGAACATGATGAACACATGAGGAACTTTGTTTAAATGAAATAATATAATTCTTCTGTCTCTCTATCTGGAACCTTTCAATGTCAATGGAACAATGGTCCAACAACAAAACATCCATCATCTCTACACCTTAACCCTCACCAGGGTCATGGGGGGCGGAGCCTATCCCAGCTGACTCAGGGTGAAGGCAGGTTCACCTGGACAGGTAACCAGCCTATCACAGGGCTACACTTAGAGACAGACAACCAAGCACACTCACATTCACACCTACGGACAATTTACAATCACCAATTAACCTCAGCATGTTTCTGGACTGTGGGAGGAAGCCGGAGAACCCGGAGAGAACCCACGCTGCACGGGGAGAACATGGAGACTCCACGCAGGAAGATCCCGGGTGTCCTCACCGGGACGCCAACCGGCGACCTTCTAGCTGTGAGGCGCTAACGATGCTAACCACCAGGACACCGTGCAGGCCTCAAAACAACCAAAAAACTAATTAAAAAAACATTTTATGAAAAAGAGAAAAGAAAGTTTGCAAATAACCTAAAACTCTCGACCGAAGCTTCTTCTACTTCCTGCCCGACACTTTAACAGACATCCGATCTTATCTCACAGGCCAAATACACTTATATTATATCATACATGATACTTCCTGAGTAGTTTACGACCATGTATACGTGTGTGTCGTCGTTTAATGAACCCTCTGAACACCAGCAGACATGAAGGTCGTGTTACCGTTTCAGAACCGACACCTTTTATCAGCCAGAAACTGTAAAACCTCACAAACACTCATATTTTCAACTTAATCTTTGCGCTGTTTGGCTCCATCAGGAAAACTAACCCCAATCTAACCTCTGAAATCTGTGATATTTGAAGTTTTATTGAAAAAATCTCCAGATTCTGCTAAAAACTGAAGCTCATTTCTCCAGAACGTTGGTGGAACTGAGCCGATGTTTGTCTGGTTATTATTGGAAAAGGATTCGCTGCCAGTTGCTGCTTGTTTAATCCAAGTTTTAACATAAAATCGTGCTGAGAGAGTCGAAAACAGCTGACAAACTGACGTCAGAGTTTTAATTAACCATAAGATCAGATAGAAAACGAGCCGCTGAGTCAAACTCGTTTCTCTGACGACTCTCGTGGAAGAAAATATTTTGATTTACTCGTAATTTTTCAGGAAACTATGAAGAGAGTTTCAGATTTCAGGCTCTAAACAGCAACAACAACTGAAACTGTACTATTGTATTGATTATTGATCATCTTGAATGGCAGATTGTTTGCAGCTGATCTGATATTCCTCCGTCAAAGTCAACATTTTTCTAATATCGATGAGCTGCCGTCTGGCTGTGATCAGTGGATCTTCACTCAGCAGCAGGTTCATCATCAGACTCTCATCCTAACGGTGTCTCGTCGACCCGCTAAACCCAGAAACATCTGATCACAGAGCGCCGTTAATGATTCTGATGCTCACCAGCAGTGTGCAGACGCCGAGTCGCAGCAGCTCCATGTCGTCGCCGTGGTTCTGGTTCTGTTCGCTCTGCTCTCACGTCAGCTGCATTTATGACCCTCACCCCAGAGCTCAGCTGATCCGAGAGCTGATAAGACACCAGGCGGGAGTTTTCTGGTATCTCTGTGTCCATCTGCTGCATCAGCTTCATCTCTGATAACATCTGAGGCTGAGAAGAACTGAAACCTCTGAAGACTGAACGTCGCCTGTTTCAAGCAGCAGCTCTGAACAAAGTCAAGCAGCAGAAGATCAAAGAATGAAGCAAAGATCAACGGCAGGTCTGAGCTCTTCTCAGGAGGTCAGTGGTCCTCGAACCCTCACAGCGTCCGTTACCATGGAGGCCACATTACAGCTTTGTCCTGTTAAACTGAAGACAGGAAATACTGTTTATGAACAAAATAAATAAAAACATAAGAAATGGTCACAGCTTCTGTTTATTTCTTCCCAATTATTTAAATTGAAAGCAATTATTTTTTGCTTCATTTTCATGTATTAGATATTTAATACATTTTGTGTATTTATGTTATGTGATTTATTTATTACTCATTTTATATTGTTTAATTCATTTAATTAGTATTTATTACATATTTCTATTTATTTGTAAATTTTTTCTAATTGTTTAATGTATTTATCCATTTTACTGAAATCATTTTTCAGATATTTTTATTTTATTAATGTAGGTTTATTTATTTTTTAATACTTTGATTTTATTTATTCTATGTACCTAGTTCATGGTCAATTGTTTATTATTTTAAAATCATTACTATTTTAATTGTATTCATTCATTTTTATTTTCACTTCTTTCATGTATTTATTTATTTATGTATTTATTAATTTTATAAATCTATTAATTT